GAAGTTCTCCAGAACCTTGTGGAAGAAGTTCTCCAGAACCTTGTGGAAGTTCTCCAGAACGTTGTGTAACCTGCTAGGTCAAGGGGTTGAGAACTTCCAGAAAAAGAGATGAAAGCTCTTCATAGAAGTCTGCTGTCTCATGTTGTCCAGCTGGTGAAGCATCTCAGCAATATGCTCCTACTCCTTGTGGGAGTAGAACCCCAACTTTATCAGGTTCTGATGCCAGACCAGAAAGAGAACCTTGTGCTGGTGTCGCTGGATATCATCCTCTGGCCCACTCTGATCACCCCAAAATACTAAAAAAAAATTGAGGCAGCTGTAAGTGATAGCGTTGGCATATGTTAACCCATACATCCAAGTTTATAGGCCGTACTTGCTGGGTTCTCCTAAGACTTGAGGCTCAATGCATGAGAATCACACAATATCTTATTGAAATGGGCCTCCATGGTCTACAGATCAATGTCCCTGCTGTGGCATCTCATGGGTTAAAAGTCTGTGCCCCTTTCCCCAACGTGCAACTAGAGTCATCCAAGAACTCTTCTCTTGCAGCCTTGCCAAGATGGATGAGAAGTTCCAGCAGATCCTGGCTTGGCAGCAGCTGGACCAAAACAAAGCCATCAGCCAGATCCTGCAGGAGGTATTATGGAAGTGTGGGGGTGGAAGGGCATTCGCCCATGGGAGAAGGAAGTAATCAGCTCTTTGACCAGGAGAACAGACAAATATTGGAAGCCACCATATTCATTGATGAACCAAGTGTTGATTGCTTTAGATCCAGTTCACCTGCCTAAGAGATAGACCGATGAATGTTCTTGAGATGCATAGGACTACAATTCCTATCAACACAGCCGGTGGACAGAGATGATAGGGACTGTTGTCAAAAGTCTAGAAAGCTAGAAGATTTCTCTAGTGCAGTGGTCACCAACTGGTGGTCCCTGGACCACTTGTGGTTCTCGAGAAAATTTTGGTGGTCCGCAGAAAATTTATTTGCCTTTTTTATATGGTACTCAATCAGGGGTCCTCAAACTATGGCCCCTGGGACAGATACATGCAATGAACGCTTGTGTTGCTGCAGAGAGTCTCCCCCTTTGGGGTCTTTTTGTGTGGGTCGGAGGGGGGCAGAAATGCCAACTTGGGGTCTGCTTCAGCCTCCTGGTGGGGGGCTTTGGGTGAAGGCTGGAGGGGAAGCGCCATTGGTGGCAAAGAGCCAGAGGGCTTCGTTCCAGTGGTAGTGCATCATGGCCTGGAACTGTCTGACCATCTCAGCCCGCTGAGCCTCCAGGCGCCGGTACCTGGCCCTGCACTCCCGCAGGTCTT